ACAAGAAGGTGGTAACCTCATAGTCCCATCACTTAAATATGTACCTCCTGTTCTGTGGTTGCCCCTGAATTCTGGATGTTTCTCTCTGCAGTCTGAGGCATTTCAAATGTAATAGAACCATAATTTCTAATCAACCCCAACAGCTTAACCCCAGACTTGCTCCATTTCCAGAATTCCTTGTTCAAATTAATGACATTATCACACCCACCAAAATAGGTCTCATCCTTGTTCTCTCCCTCTCAATTCCATTTCCAATCCAGCAACAAATCTTGATTAACTCTCCTTCCTGTATTTATCTAAATCTCCCTGCTTCACATGTTAGCCACTCTTCTTATTCTAGTCCCAATTACCATAATCTTCTCTCTTTGTTACTTCCTCTATTTTTGCTCTTCTATTTTGGTTCACTTTCCAAAGTTAAGACAAAATTATCTTCATAAAACGTTAATTAAATTATATCATCTTCTGCCTACAGTCTTTGGTTTCCCATCCCACATAGGATAAAATCAAAATTCCCTGATGGAATGAATCTACCAAATTCCCCTTAAATCAGAATCTCTCTCTCTCTCTCTCTCTCTCTCTCTCTCATTCATTCACTCTGTTCCAGCCACATGGCCCTTTATTTGTTCTCTGAACACAATAAACCTATTTCTGACACAGGTCCTTTGCATGTAGTATCCCTTTTTCCCCAGTTTTCCCACATTTTTTTATTCCTTTCTTCTCTGTCCGTATCAACCCAAATATTCCCCTTTTAGTGGCCTCCACAAGCACATTCCTCCTACATGCCTTTTCCTGTCTCATTCCATTTTGTTTCCTTTATAACATTTGTCAGCTATAGTTATTGTACTTGTATATTTTTTTTCTTAGAATGTAAATCTCATGGGAACAGAGTTGTGTCTGCTTTGTTCATCTCCTTAACTTCAGTGCCTTGGGTAGAATCAGGCCATAGTGGGAATTCAGTAAGTACTAACTGAATATTTTGAATAAATTATGAAGACATCCAAAAAGTATCATTTTTCAAAGTAAAATTTAGTGACTGTAATTGCAAAGATTACAGGGTAGAAAATGAGGGACAGTTCAATTAAAGGCCAAAAAAAAAAAAAAAAGGAAAACAAACAAAGGGTTGCCAAAGAGGAAGTGGTGGGGGGATGGGGTGACTGGGTGACAGGCACTTGATGGGATGAACAGTGGGTGTTATACTATATGTTGGCAAATTGAATTTAAATTCAAAAATTTTAAATAAATAAATAAATAAATAAATTTTAAAAAATAAAATACTACTTTAAAAAAAGAAAAGGTGTCTGGAAGCTACTGTATGGAGCCAATTTTTGCAATTAAATATGGTTGGCTTATTTGCATACATTTACATAGGGTCAAAAGGACAAGAGGAACATTTACTTATCCCTATGATGAGAGATGTCATTTCCATTGTTAAATGCACTCAATATCCATCACAAAAAAAATTTATTGGATTCTATGCAAACAAACATAAGTGATCATCTAAATCTACAAATTAGATTCTGAAATATATTCCTACTTCTACTTCCTCCCTTTGTCTCACACTACTCCCAAATTAAGAAGTTATCATTTATAGAAGACAATATTCTGAAACTTTTCAGACCTGACACCATGCTAGGTTTTAATAACTGCCCCCTTGATACTGACAGTCTATTAGCCATCTCTGCAAGGGCACACACATATACCAGCATTCAGAAATCTGGCAAAATAAAAAATTTCTCTTCATTTTCAGGACAGCTGGCTTAGGAAAGAACATATTCTAAGACATTAAAGGTGAATATTTTCATGACACTTGTATAAAATGACTTTCTGTTCTCTTCTATAAAACCTAAATTTCAATCCTCATCCTATAGACTTCAATAGACTTCAAAGGTGGCATTTTATATCATATTCTCTTATAATACTAGAACAAAACTTGAATGTGAATAATTGGAGATCTGAACACTAATATAAAGATGAAATAACAGGATTCAACACAGGAGCTAAAAAGGGGGGGGGGAATTATTTCCCTCTGCCATACTGAAAAGTATATGGCTTTAAAACCTAGGAAATAAGACCCTGGTGATGTTATGCTGAATGGGCAACATATCAGTGAACCCTCTTCCTAAGAGTTTTTATAAACCTTTATTATTTTGAGTATTTACTTATTTCTTTGTGGATATGTTTTCTTATACCTGTGTACTCTTTCCTATATAGCAGCTCCATTCTCATTACCTATAATAAGGTGTCCATTGGGTTTCATCATGTATATTCTATAAAGTTTGAATACACACCTACTTGACATGTGTATTTATGTAATCCTACACTATACACATGTGCCATTGTGCTGTTACATATTTAATATACTTTCCTACAACCAAATAATTTACCATAATGAGATAGAATAAATATACACGGAATTTCTATTTTTCCTTCCTGCTCTCCAATGGATTGGTTTGTGTACTCTCTGGGGAATGCTTACCCCACTTTGGACACCACTAAGATTTTGTCTCAAGGAGAGGAACTGATTCATACTGAAGTGCTTTTAATTTTATGATCTATGTATATGCTAGAATTTCTGAATAGATCTGCATAACTTATTATACCATATTACAGTCTATGATGCTATGAGGTACCAGCTAGACCAAGGCATTTGTCTACCTATGTATACTATATACCTTCAGCTGCAGGTAATATTGTTGGCTGCTGGTAACACAGAGCTGAGTTAACACTTCCCTGCCTCCACCCTAATAGCCTTCATCCAATTAGTGGTCTAATAACCTACCTCCTTGTTTCAATTCAGGACACCCTGAAAGGGCCCTCCTAACTCCAGAGTCCCTAATGGATTTAGATGATGCTTCCATTATTACCACAATATGGTTCAATTGCTCTCTCTATACAGAGCTACTTCCTTCAGTCTTTTACTGATTGCAGAGGCACCCTGCCAGGAATCTGCACACAAATCTCTGTCCCAGAATGACATTAAAGGTGAATATTTTCATGTGTTGAGTTCCTAATAGATAAACAATTGAGCCACTGGAAATTCAAGAATGAAAATAATATCCTAAATCTTCCTGAATCCCCATTAGAGCTTCACTGAGTCAAGATTAATTTCACCTGGAGGTCTTCTTGGTTTTTCTTTTTATGGAAAATCAAGGTTCCAAAAATTGCCAGGAACTTCCTTCTTTTGAATGCCTGAGTGACATTTACTTATGGGCTTAATATCACTGCTTCTGGGGACAACAGCCTTTGTCCATCCAGATCTCAGGCTGTGGTCTGCTTGTATTGCTCACTCTGATGCCTTCTTCAATGTCACTTCAGCTCCTAACACAATCCCAGTACCATTCAGGTTCAAGCAATATCAGAGCACTTGGGCTACTAGCAGTGTAAGGCACCTCTTTACTTTACTTGGAGGTATCTCTCTGAGTGTATTACTCACTAGAGGCTATGAGGTTTAACTCACTAGTAGTCATAACACCACTTTTCTCTTACACTTTTCTTAATGGAACTTACTTTTGGTTCTGCCATCCAGGGTGAGAACTCTGTTTTCCCAATGCACTAGTCATAGAATAAGCAAAGTAACCATTATTGCCTCCTGGAAGAAATCTATGGTATTGGACATAGGGCTCCCTGCTTAACTTTTCTTTGATCAAGATAGAGACTTTCATAAAAATGAAATCCTAAGAACTGGCCCTACGTAAATTTAAGTTTTGCAGGACAACTATGAAAAGTGTATCCATGACCTTATTTTTTTTTTTTTTTAAGAGAGAGTGTGTGACTGTGCAAGCTAGGGGGCAGGGAGAGGGGCAGAGAGAGAATCCTAAGCAGGCTTTGCATCCAGCATAGAGACCCACATGGGGCTCAATCTCATGGCCCTGGGATCATTACCTGAGCTGAAATCAAGACTCAGATGCTTAACTAACTGAGCCACCCAGGCACCTTCTAGAGTATTTTAATATTAAAAAAAAAAAAAACTCAGTATTATGTTTAGGTATAGTTTCTGACATAGAATATTAGAAATAAAAATCAACTATCCATCTAAGGTTTTACTTAGAAAAAATGAAAATATATGCACAGATAAATTGTTATAAAAAGACTAATACCTAAAAAAATAGTCCTTCTTAGCCCAAACTCCAATAGATGAAGAATGGAGGGTGGCCATTACAGCATATAACATAATATTTGATTCTGATTAAAAGATTAGTTCAATGAAATGTTATTTTGATAGAAATTTACAGGTTTCATATGCTATATATTAAAAATAGTAGTATATATTCACTTGGTTACATATTATTAAAGATAAAATAGAAGTATTCTATAAACAAACATTAGGTAGATTATAAGACAACATGTAAAAGGAGACTCAGGAAATAAATACAAAAATGCATATCACTCATTTATGACTTGACTTTTTTAAAAAAGATTTTATTTATTTATTCATGAGAGACAGAGAGAGAAGCAGAGACATAGACAGAGGGAGAAGCAGGCTCCAGCAGGAAACTCAATGTGGGACTCAATCCCTGGACCAGGATCACACCCTGAGCCAAAGGCAGATGCTCAACCACTGAACCACCCAGGTGTCCCATGACTTGACTTTTTTGAAAATGGAACAAAAACCTTCACAGTAAGGCTCAAAGAGTTGCCTGGAAAGTGACTCCAGCATCTTCTATGTTCCGTATTTTCTCTGATTGTCATAGTAGTCCCTGTGTCTAAAGCTTATTCACTGGGGATGAAGCTTATACTGAGATTTTCACTATACCTTGAAATGCTGAGGCTACGATTCCTTTTCACAGATGCACACTGTTCTCCGTTAAAATACTACTGTACATTGATTTCATATGGAAACTGCTCAATAAAATATTTCTAAAACTCTAGATACAAATAATTTATTCAATACTCACTTTTAGGTAGAACTATCAGATAGGATTAATAGATTTAGCACATGTAATGGAAAGTCACTACTTATTATTTACCATTGATTATACCAATAGAGTATCAGCACTTACCTGAATAACATGCTTCAGCTTATCAATAATTTGATTTATCACAGGATCAGTTCCTTTGACTTTGACTTCAGGATTTCCAGATTGGGCTTTGATTCCATTTCCAACCACACGCTCTGTATAGCTAACAAAACAAAAAGAGGAAGATACAGGATTTAGTAATCCTGTCAGAATATAACCTGCCATAGCCATTTGAATATATTTAAGTTCAGAATCTTACTCTTCTAAGAGTATACAACAATGCATTTTTTTCTTGGAACATCTGTTCCTGGTGCAGATGCAACAGATGCAACATTTTTTTGGATAAACTATTAATAAACTATTAACCATGAAACTATAAACTATTCTAATGTTTTTCTCTCAAAAGACCCAACCAGGGTATCTGGGTAGCTAAATCTTTTAAGCATCTGCCTTCAGCTCAGGTCATGATCCCAAGGTCCTGGGATCAATCCCTTCTCCTCTTCATTCCCTTTTTTTTTTTTTTTCCTCCTCATTCCTGCTCTCTGTCACTAACTCTCTTTCTCTCAATAAATAAATAAATAAATAAATAAATAAATAAATAAATAAATAAATTTTAAAAAGACACAACCAAAAATTAATTGTGCTTTAACACTGCTTATCACTATACTAAAGAAAGCACTCTGTCTCTTTATGTCTATCATGAAAAAATAAATAAAATCTAAAAAAAAAGAAAAAGGGATCCCTGCGTGGCACAGTGGTTTGGCGCCTACCTTTGGCCCAGGGCATGATCCTGGAGACCCGGGATCAAATCCCACGTCAGGCTCCCGGTGCATGGAGCCTGCTTCTCCCTCTGCCTGTGTCTCTGCCTCTCTCTCTCTCATTCTATGTGACTATCATAAATAAATAAAAATTTAAAAAAAATTAAAAAAAAAAAAAAGAAAAAGAAAGCAAATATACATGCCACTTTGTTACCAGATCTTGTTGAATCACATGTATGTCTTAATCCATATTATCTGGGTCAATTTACTTCATTTTATACAATATATAAATGAGCCACAATAATATTTTTTTTACATATTGGACTACAAAAGTCAAAATTATAACCATTATAACTAAATAACTAAAACTGGCAAAATATTTTGCAAGTAGACAAAACACAATCCGCTTTCACTGACATTTATCTAAAAAAGGGTGTAGTAAATCATGTTGTATGTAAATACGGTAACTTCATAGGTGGTTAAAGTCATTGCAAATAACTGTCTTCCCAAAACGACAATTTAGATTCATTGGTCAGAATCCCAGGAATGAAGGAGAGACTCAGGATGCTTTGGGAATAGCTAAAAGAAATGGTATATGCCAAGTAAGAGGTTAGGGATAACATGAGTAGTGAACACTGAGCATATGGAGAAATCCACATGGATTAAGACACTTGGGGAAAAAACTAAAGTTACAGCTTGTGTTAGCCCTTGAAGTATTATGGGAAGAGCAATTCTTAGATGGTGTAGTTAATGTAAACTCCAGAGCAAAGGATGACATCCCAGCATGAGAAATGGCAAAGGCGTGCAAATAACACACTCAGGAAGTATAGCTAGGTATCTATTTACAAAAAGTACAAATACAGAAAAGTAAGAGATAGGAGGCCACGCCCTGAACGTTCCATACTCTCTCCATTTAAGACTCTCCTCTGAGTAAACTGTTGTTTAAACAAAAGTCATAATAAAGTGGTTTCAGAGACTTTCTAAAAGGCATTTCCATATTATGCTTAATGTAATATTTCTTCCCTCTATTTGAGCAGAGTATCACAGCTAACCATGTAAACCCTCTGGATTTTCTACAGCAATGGAAATCCCTTAAAGAGATGAAAGGAGGCTCCACTGTTGAGAATATGGCTATACAAAAGAAATTTCAAAGAATATCCAGTTCCTCCCCAAATTTTGCACACCCAATGACTAATTTATACAAGTGGATCAAATAATTACTAACTAGATCCTTCCAATGAAATGATGGAACCTTTTTATGTTGATAGTTGGATATGACAAAAATAATGATATTAATACATTTTTTTAAAGCTACCTTGAACTTACCTCTTAAGGCAGAAATAGATGGGTATAGAGTTAGGTATTCCAGTATATATTAGGGATTTGGCAATATATACTAATAACAACTAGTGAAAGGAAACCAATTACCCAAATCTATTGATGTGCAATATTTTTACTTATAAGTAATTAAGTAAACTATAAATATTAAGCTTCTCTTAACTCCTCTGTAGCACTATTGTATTTTTTCTTCCAAGTATTTCAAGCAGATTGCACATGTGGCTCTTTTACTATGTATTTGTTATTAATAAATGATGAATAATATGAATACATAAATGGACAAATGCTTGTTTATGATTCAGGCATTGTTTTAAATACTTTCTTTGGAGCCTGTCAATTTACCTCATATAATCATTTTTTGTGGCCATGAGAACGTACCTATAGATGTCAAAGTACAGGAAGTTTAATTGAGTCAGCGTGTCTGCTGCTATGCTCTGAAATCTATTTCTGCATCAGCTTCCAACTGATGACTGTGTTCAGTAGGGATACTAATGCAGGGCCATTGCTGGAAGACATAGGGCTGCTTTGATAGCCAAGTTTGCTCAGGATTCCCTGAAGCCCTTGCTAACCTTTCCTTTGGCTGCACGTCATGCTTAAATTCCTCCACTCAAACTTCTTATCCCTCTCCTTCACTCTGGGTCACACATGCTTCATGACTAACAGCTTTTCCAGCCTTACTCAGTTTCCACCCCATTTGCTCTGATAGGCATTTCCCTTAATAAAATCCACTTGTGTTTAATCACTTTTTGGCATCTGCTTCTTGGAGAACCCAGATAATACAACATCTAATATTTATATTTAAGGATTTCCACTCTACAGATTGGGAATCTAGGATCTGAATATATTCAGTAACTTTCCCAATGCAACATTTTGTTAAGTGTCCAGCCAAGGGTATGAATACAGGTAACGTGAGCACCAAAATATAATCACTCTAATTCTTAATGAAAACTCTTGAAATCAACTAATAGAGAGATACAATTAGCTTTGTGCAAAGTGTCATCTTTTTAAATCTTTTTTTCTGTAACTACAGCATTTTCAAATGTTTTACCACTTATGATTAGAAAAGGAATCCTTTTTTCTGTAACTACAGCATTTTCAAATGTTTTACCTCTTATGATTAGAAAAGGATGTACTATTTTCTTCAAAAATTTCAACGAACAGTTGTATATTACAGCTAAACAGTGAAGTAATGCTTGCTAGAGGGGTGAAAACAAGGTAATAAACTGCAAGTTTGCTATAAGATTTTCCTGTTTTTCTGGAAACACAGACATAATGTAAGCAATGGAAATTTAGTCTCATCTCTTAATTTTAAACACAGTAAAACCTTTGCATAATACAGGTTTGAACTTTCCGGGTTCACTTATATGTGGATTTTTTTCAATAAATACAGTACTATAAATGTATTTTCTCTTCCTAATTATTGTCCTAACATTTTTTTCCTTTCTCTCACTTTACTGTAAGAATAGAGTATACATACAAAATATGTGTTAATTGATTGTTTATGTTATCAGTAAGTCTTCTGGTCAACAGTAGGCTATTTGTAGTTTCAGGAGAGTCAAAAGTCATGCATTGATTTTTGACTATGCCCCTAACTCCCACATTCTTCAAGGGTCAGCAGTAAACTGTTACTTTGGTTGCATTTTGGTTTATTTACAGACCATGAACTTTCTTTTAAGATTCAGAAATGTCATGTCACATTAATCTGAAGAATTTCACATTTTTTATTCTTAATTGTCACAGTTGGTAACACAGATACATTTTATCACAATTAAAATTGATCAAGAATCTCATTCCAAACTAGTGTATTATTCAATAGTTCAGTATCACTATTCTTATGTATTACTTAAATAATGAAAAACACTGCAGCAGGGCATTTAAGATACTTCAAGTGGAAATATAATTTTAAAAAATAAGTTATTCTTTTCGGTTTGCACAATGTTAAGAAGAACCACAATGCAATAGTGGTACATACTCACCAGAATAGTTTAAATGAAGAAGGCAGATGACACCAGGTGTTGGCATGGATATGGTACAACTGGAGCCTTCTCTTGTTTTGGATGGGTGTCTAAGCTGATATAAACCACTGTTTGACATGTATGCTAAAGCTAACAACCCCATGGTTCTGGAGATTCAGAAATGGTTCTGGAGACAAACTCAACAGTGTTTACCAAAAGCAGATATAAGAATGTTCAAGGAAGTACTTCTCAAAATAGCCCCAAATTGGACATAACCCCAATGCCCATAAATATTAACATGGGAAATAAATGGTAGTATATCTATATAACAACATACTATATAGAAATGATAATAAATGAATTGCAACTATAGTCAATAGCTTATAAGGTAAATGTTGAATGAAAGAAGCAAGGTATAGAACATACTCTGTGACCCCATCTATAAAAGTTTAAAAATGAATCAATGTTCTAAATTACCATAAGAGTTACTCTAGGAGAGACTGTCTAGAAGGTTGAAGGGATTTCTGGGGTTCTAGTAATACATTCCTTGATTGGGGTCCTGATTACACAAGAGTGCTCATTTTGTGTAAAAAAAAAAAGATTGAATTGTACAGTTAAGATTTGAATATTTTGTCTTCCAAATAAAAAATACAATTAAACACTCACATTAAAGATTTCTTGTGCTCTTTTTCTTAATATGTATACAACAGGAAAAAATGGTATTTTTAACATGGGCTAAATGGTTTTGTCATGACGAAATGAGTAACTTAGGATCCTGGTTTGATAAAAACTTATTCCGTGCAGCCTTTACTTTGCATGCAAAAAAAAAATATGGTTTTCTAATCAAATAACAGTGTTTCTAACAAAGGCTTTTTGAGTTTTTTATTATGAAATTTTAATAAAACATTAATCACATTTTCTTCTAAATGTACAAGTAATGGGTAAAATTTTTGAAGGATCCCTACAGAGGTTTCTGGACTTGAAAAACTGCTTGCATTTCAACTAAAGGAAGGGAAAAAAAATACACACACACACACACAAAAAGAAGCATGTTTTTTTTGTTAGAGAAGTAATAGGCCCACACCATCTGTCCTTATTTCTTCTAAGCAGGT